GGGTCAACGGATGGGATTGAAGAGTAAGGCAGTTTTCGAAGTGAGAACGGCAACAATCTCGACGTGGAAGCAGAAGTTTGGATGGGAGAAAGTGGAGAAGGCGGTGGTTCTGGTCGAATGGACGAAGGACGATAAGCAGTTGAAGGCGTTGGTGAACTTGGTGGAGGAGATAGCCAAGGAAGTTTGGGAATTGGTGGTGGTACCGGCAAGAATGGATTGCGGATACTACGAGGTTGGAGGAGTCACCGAAACATGGCAGAAAGTAAGGAAGACGGCGCTGAATGTGGAAGTCGTGGATCCAATGACTCCAGTAGGACCCAAGAAGATGCCGTTGATCCTCTGCGACTTGAAACCAGGATCGCTGGAGAAGATGATGGAATACTTGGCGTGCGCCATCCCAGGCCACTCGTTGGTGGATCGACTGAGAGCAGACGTTGAAGACTCAGAGCCAAAGATCAAGAAGCACCGTGCAAATTGAGGACAAGGCGAAGGAGCCGAATATATTAAATTTTTATTGTTGTTCTGTTTTGTAGTAACTAGTGAGGTCAATAGGACAGTTAGAATTTTTATGAGGTCAATAGGACAGTTAGAATTTTTATGAGTTCAATAGGACGTTTCAATTTTTGTAATCTGAGGCCGTTAAGACATGTTAGGAAATCTCTTGTGTTATTGTTTGAGTAGGAAGGCGTAGGGTCACGTGACGGTAATTTCAAAAGGAGTATGAGTTGAGTATAAGTCGAGTGGTCCTGTACCTTTCATGCCACCGGTCAGGGGTCCGGTTTTTCGGAGGAGGGGGAAGTTGCCGGTAGGCATGCCCGCCAACTCATCAACCCTTTCTTACGGTACTACGCGCCCACTCGCAACGACGCTCCGCTATTCCGCTGATGTCGTACGCGTACAGCCCGTCTCGCCGACGACGTGGCAAGTCGTGTTTTTTGGTTAGGTTTGGTTTAGGTTTTTTATAGTGTAGTTTTGAAGTGTGTTTTAGGGTTTTTGCTGGTTTTCCATAATATTTTATATCGTTTGTACTATTTTAGTCCTTGGATAAGGATAAACTAGTAATTTTCTCGACTAAATCTCTTTTTATCGTTTACAAAGGCCACTGAATCCGAACCATCGGATAACTGAATGCCATAGATAACATTATTTCTTATTGCGATGCAGTTGGTTTCTTGTCTATCGAATTCATGGATTGTGACGAAAAACTGAACACCAGAAACAGTACGTGTGTTCAAGAATGGAATCCGTTTCCAGAGGAAATTGAGGATCCGGTGAGGATGTCAGAGATTCAGAAGGAAGCTTGTGAGAACTTTTTTGGCAAAAATAATTGTATGGAAGCGGAAATTACGGAATTGTGCGGTGGGTTTTGTTTAATTTCGTAAAACCTGTAATAGAAGGGCCCTCATACTATGCAAGATATCAAAAATGTGTCCACTGATAAAATGTTTTTAATATTACGATGAACATTTTATTAGCTAACAATTTTTTCATATCTTTGGAACTGAGATAAATTGGCTTAAAGTTAGGGGACCTTGTATTACAGGTTTCAAGATAATTGTTCTAGCCAACAAAGGATGTTTTCAGCACTACCTGGCTCTCAACAAAATTGTGGATTTCTGTAAATTTTATTGAAATTTTTGACAATGAACAATGTACAGTATATCAAGACAAGAACACATATTCCTGTTTTTCGAATTACAGCATGATGGATTTTTGTTATTGACCTTCGTCTCTTTATCATTTGTTCCTTAGTCTTTGCATTTTTTGTTCTGTTTTTTTCAGAATTATTACTTCTCATATCAGATCAAAATGTCTTGCTTCCTTTACTTTTCTATTCTCCTGATTCCTCTCGTTCTTGGAGACGATGAAGTGGTTTGTGTACCTACAGAAGGAGAGAACAGGGAGGAATGCGTTATGGTAAGTATCAACGTGATTTGAAGTTATCCATTCAATGATTCCAGATTTACAATGGTGTCAAAGACAATATTCTGACCTTGAACCTTACCGAATTGGAAAACATCGAAAAGTTCAGAAATAACTGTCTGGATTTCGAGAAATGTACCGCACAACTAAAATGTGGAGCTGAAAAGGCTCTTGTGGACACTATCGACGATATTCCTTTTGTGAAGCTTCCATGTTTCGGCACACTAAAAGTTTCGAAAATTGTGATGAGAAACTGATTGAAAGAAATTCGACATGTATCCAAGAGTGGCACCAACTTCCAGAACTTGATAGTGGAGACGAAGAAGCTCTTAGAACTGCGTGCAGCGAGTTCTTTGGAAAGGACGGGTGTCTAGAGAAAGAGATGTCCGAAGGATGTGGAGTGGATGTTTGGAATGGGTTCAAGAAGGTATAGTGAAGACCTCAAAAGAATGAAAATTATTAAAATTTTCAGAACCAACTGGCAATGAACAAAATCACAGGAACCTGCAAATTTGATTAAACATATCCAACATGAGTCACAAATCAAAGTTTTACAAACTTGTTTGTATGTAGTTAGTCATTTTATCTATCTCGTGAATCAGTTCTTTTTGTCAACATCATCAATGTTTCTATACTGTGTTTTGACTTCTGTCTATAAAACTCCATGTTTTGTTCTTGTTCGGTATCGACTTCCATTATGATATTTTTCGCCTGTGTTCTTTTTGGATTGGTTTTTGGATACGATGGGAGTGAATGTAATCCAGCTGAATGGTACATAGCTGTGAAATGTAGCATTGTAAGATTTCAGATATTTTGCAAATAAAGGGTATTATGTTTTCAGAAGCACGGAGAACTGTTAAGCCAGGCTAAAATTCTTGATTTGAAAAATGACTACAATATGAGAAAGATCAACATGACCTGCACGGATTTTCTTAAGTGCTCAACACAATTCAAATGTGGGAGGACTAAAAAAGATGTGGAGGAGATTGAAAAAGCGGTTTTCGTGTGTAATTTTGTTGCTTTCCTCATTTCACCTGGTTTTGTGGATTGTGTTGATAAAGTGGACTCCAAGAAATCCACGTGTCTTCAGGAATGGGATCCGTTTCCAGATCTTGAAGGAACTGAAGAAGAGAACAAAGTGAAACAGAAGGAGGCTTGTAGAAACTTTTTTGGCAAAGACAACTGTATGGAAAAGGAGATGGTAGACATGTATAGCATGGACTTGTGGGAGGATTTCAGGAAGGTGAGAGGGTTTTTTGAAGTCAGACGAAACAAATAAATTTTCAGCACTACTTGGTACTGAACAAAATCTTCAAAGCATGCGATTTTGATTAATCTTTACTCCGCCTAATTTAAAACCGGATAATAAAATTTTGGCTTATTCTAATTCTCAATGGTTAACATAAAACAGATTTTCTTGGTTTTGGGAAATGCTACGCAAACCTTTATCGAC